TATATATATATATATATCCAATAAATTATCATAACAAATTGTTCTATCTTACAGAATATTGGCTTTGATTGGTGTATGGTTAATTGTGTTATTATTATCATTTTCAATTGTACTAATTTTTATCATTCAACGATCGTCTAAATCAAGATCTTTTAACTAACCTATCCAATTTTTTTGCAGTCTACAAGTATATTATATTATCTTTAACTATTTTAATTTTAAAAACCCAAAATTTGTGAATTTAATAAACTCAACTCTATCTCTCAATTTTTTAAATCCACCCCTATAAACTTTTTTTTATATACACTCCTATAAACTTCACAGATTATTTTTGTTTTTACTGTAATTCATAATTAATTTACACTAGTGAGTTGTTTACAAACTTAATCTTAATACCGTGTTACACAATTTGGATTAAAATCTATATTTTATTATATTCCTGGTCGGATATATTAAACGGATATGTTGACATTATTGCTAGGTATACCTCCTTTTTTAAAAAAAATTGAAAAAGAAAATAATGCCAGTTAGACTGAATTATCTGTTTAGAAATACACACATTGTATAATAGACTAAAAAAAAATCCCCATATATTTATCTCTATTGATTTGAACTAAAGGATTCAAGTTCTGTTTGGAAAATATTGGAAGATTTTAAGTGAACGCGATTATTTTTTTTAAAATAATTAGATATATTAAAAGGTTTTTTTTAACCGGTATTTTGAATCGAGGTCCAAACTAATCTAAATATTTTATTCAATAAATTAAATGTAAATATAAGAATTCCCCTTAGCCTATAAAACATTTTCGTCGTTACCTTATAGGCTAAGGTCATAGGCTTGGATGTTTGATTCGATTCTTCATTAATTATTCCATGTCTTTTACACTTTTTTTTTTTAATGTCATGTTCAATGTCTGAGTAGGTAACCATGTGAATGCTAGTGCATCACCAACGTGGGCTGCGGATAATTATAACTAGTTGTTAAGATGTTAAATTTTATATTAATAACCGAACTTCTAATTTTTTTTAAAATAAATACGTTAATTTTAAAAATTCCAAATAAATACATGAACTCTTTCTAATTCATATATTATATGTTGAACTTTTTAAGAACAATTAAAATAAATTACGAACTTTTAAATTATTCCTAAAAAATAGTTATAAAATTAAATATTAAACTTTTAAACGATTCCCAAATATCACCATAATATGATGTTTTTGAATTTTTTAAAAAAAATAGGTTTAATATAAAAATTAAGAAGAGTTCGTACATTTTTTGGAAATTTTAAAATTCATGTATTTAGTTGAAATTATTTTTTATAAATTATACTATTACCCTAATATATATATATATATATATATATAATTAGTTATTGAAAATTTGAAGAATATTATACCAAAAAAATTGGAGGAATATCTTATACAATTACATATTAAGAATAAAATGGAGCATGGGCGAATAAAACCTAGCCTTGGAAATTTAAGTTAGTGACTACAACAGTGGATAAAGATGAAAGTGAAGGAATAAAGTTTGCATTCAGAAGTCAATGATAAAAATGTAAATATATCTACCTCGGTCAATTATCATATGGTTATCATTGTTGTCATTATCGCCATGATTATTTATTTAATATTGCTTCTGTTGGACTAGTAATAGTTTTTTGAAAAATGTATAATATTCTTTTTACTCACATGATTCATTAAAGTATATGATATAGTAATTTTAAATTACTCATAGTATAACTAAAGTTGAACTTGCAATGATAAACTATTTATAAATATATATATATATCATGAAAATTCAAGAAGTCTTTCGCGTTTTGAAAAATAAGGAAGTAATTATGTCTTTTAGATGAAACGGTAAATCCCCTAAAAGGCTGTCATAATGATGATACTAAACATCACATCACATGTATCTATAAAATAAAATTAAAGATTTCAAAGAACAGATGATTAAAAAAACTTTTTACTAACGCATAAATATGAATTCATCATCTTTAATAAAGGTTATCATTTTTTTGTTTAATATTACATGTTTTGATATCATTTTTTATATTTTATAATAATAATAATAATAATTATAAAATGAAAAAATTATATCAAGTTTTTTATTTTTCTACTACAGTAAAACAAAATATAAAAATTTGCAGTCTTGAATAGTACAAATTACATAAATCTAATTTTAAACTGATTAATTAGATCATAAGGTTAAATAATTTTCTGTAGAAATTTAAGTTTCTTATATTGGTGTTGTTGTACATATAAATATATGTGTGAAAAATTCTATTTTTTTTAGTAGTGTAATTTAGAGCTGAAATAAAAAAAAACACAAAATAGAACAAAAAGAGGGCATGTAGAAGCTGAAAATAAATAAAGTTAGCTTTTTCAAATAAAATAAAATAAAAGATGAGCAGAAAAATATGGAAAAAGTATACTTTTTAATGATGGAGGAAAAAGAAGAAGAAGAAGAAAAGGAAAGAAAAGGTTCAAGGGAGTCGCACGAACGAAAATGCATCCCACAAGAAAGTGTACACACGTGCGCAATATTTCCCATTATCACCAAAAAGCCCCAACCTTTTTGTCATTTCACTTTACCCCCTCATTTATTTTATTTTTATTATTTTGTATCCTTCAATTTTAAAACCACGACTCTAACAAATTATTCTTTATCTCGTGCACTGAAAAGATAGAAGGTCCAAAATACCCTATATTGGGTTGAAAATTAATTTATATAACAACCCTAGTATCCGAATTAAAAGAGAAAAAAAAGAGAAATATAAAACTATTTATTTTTTTTTGCTTAGATTGATTTAAATTTAAGTTAGAAGTTTATTTTAATGTGTAATGAATTTAGTGATTCACTATCAGTTCGTTAACGATACTTAAAACAAGTTTAATATCCCTTAAACACACCCAAAAGAAGAAATCAATGAATGCAATAATATACCCATTTAATTCCTTAATAGATGCTCCATGTTTTTTTAGACACGTGGGACGTGAGAGATCGAACGGTCAGGATATTACCTCACCTTGATCAGTCTCTGTCTCACGCTCTTGGTCAACTCATCGGACGGTCCACGTCATTCCTTTTCCTCCTACTTCCAAACAAAGGCACAAAAGGCCACCACACACACGCATATATGTATATATATAAGATAAGATATAAACTATAACATAGTTTTTTTTTAATAATAACACAAACACACATTAGAATATACCGTTCATATCTTATCTATAAACAACTTGTGTCATGTGGAATTTAATAATGTTTTCAGAATTTGATTTGACTTTTTAACTGTTGACAATTATATGGTTTTTTTAGCGCTATACTAAATAATATACGGTTGTAAGAAACATTATGAGATGGCAACGTAAATGCAAAATGTATAATATATATGGTCATACATTAAAATAAAAATTTAAATTAAATGAAAAAAAAAAAGTAATGGAATTCACGAGAATCGCGCGAACCGACGGAAGCGTCCACGAGGGACGAAGCATTTAGCTCACGAGTATCGCGACGCGAGTCATAACTCAGTGGCACAAACCGTAATTTTAGGAAAAATCGAGGGTAATTCCGTCATACAAGACCATTCCCTTTTTTAAATCAGGCAAAAACTAAAAAAAAGCCATTTGTATTTTGTCCGCATTGGGACTCTCTCTCACGATATGCGTTACTCTTCTCTCCTTTTTTATTGTTTCAAATTGTTTAATAATATAAATAAATATTTAGGGAGGGGAAAATAAAAATGGGCGAATACGAAGCGCGTGGGACCCATTGGTCTAAATGATGACGTGGCAGACTCTCGTTGAAAATTGAATGAGAACTGGGAAAGATAACGACCGGAGAGAGACTGGACCCCTTGAGGAGAGAGAGGGAGACGGCTCATCCATCGTAATAAAGTCAGTTTTTTTTTTCTCTTTTATTTTTTTACTTTCGGATTTTCTCGCGAGAATCTGCTCTGGTTTCTGCGGAGATCGGAGTGTTGGAGTACTGAATCTGGATGTGATTTTGTCGGTGAATCGGAGATGAGGAACGTGAACAATACCGTCGAGACCGTGAACGCCGCCGCAACCGCCATCGTCACCGCCGAGTCCCGCGTTCAGCCGACGGCGGTCCAGGTAGCTGTCTTCTTCTTCTCTATGTGTGAATTCATGCTGAATTTGTTCTCTTTGCTATTTTAGATCAGTGTCGTTGCATTTTCGGTGGATCTTTTTTTTTTTTTGTGAATCGTGATCCCGAGATTTGCAGCTTCTGTCTGATTGCTGAGAAAATGACTGATGCTGAGTGCGAGTTCCGGGATTTTTGGCGTTTGATCTGGTTTGGATATACGAGAAGGAAGTGATTTTGCCTTTTTTTTCGCTTTACCAGTGGAAGCTTCAGCATCTGTTACATGTTCTGCTAGATTTATGTGTTACTTTAATAATTACCGCGAAAAAGATGGAGGAAGATTCGCAATTGGATCCGAGTTTCGTGTTCGCCTCTATGTTTCCCTTTTCGGTTTCTCTCAAAGTGACAATCATCGATCGATGTAAGATTTATGCCGTCACGTGAGATGAAATCTCGGTGAACTTTTCCATGTTTCATTGCTTTTAGCGTTCTTTTTATGCTGTCCTCTTGATTAAGATTTGATAAGATGAAGCTATGATTTGGTTGGATTTAAGTGTATTGGATACGAACGATTTGCTTCGACTGGCTTTATCTTCATGATGTCACAAATGGATAGATTTGTATTGAATTCGTGTTTTGTTTTTCGCCTTTTCGAATTGAATCATATAAAATCTCCAAAGGTTTGTGATCATCATCTTGGTTAAAGAATCTTGTTTTGGTTCTCTGGCTAAAGAATCTTGTTTTATCTGCTTGAATGTAGAAGAGAAGATGGGGAAGCTGCTGGAGCCTTTACTCATGTTTTGGATCCCAAAAGAACAATAAACGGATCGGTCATGCTGTACTTGTCCCAGACCTGGCCGTACCTGGAGTCCCTGTGGCTACTATCCGAAACTCGACCACTTCAACTCCAATCGTTCTTCCCTTTATAGCTCCTCCTTCGTCTCCTGCTGGATTTCTGCAATCCGATCCTCCATCCGTGGCTCAATCCCCTGCTGGTCTTCTTTCCCTCACCATCAATACATATTCCCCCTCTGGACCTTCATCGGCCTTTGCCATTGGCCCTTACGCACATGAAACTCAACCGGTCACTCCTCCACAATTCTCCGCCTTCACGACAGAACCCTCCACCGCACCTTTCACCCCACCCCCCGAATCAGTTCACATGACTACTCCTTCTTCCCCTGAAGTGCCCTTTGCTCAGTTGCTGGCTTCATCCTTGGAGAGAGCTCGGAGGAATAGTGATGGGATGGATCAGAAGTTCTCGTCGTCCCACTACGAGTTTCAGTCTCATCAGGTCTACCAAAGGAGCCCTGGTGGTAATCTAATCTCCCCTGGGTCTGTGATTTCGAACTCCGGCACATCTTCTCCGTACCCGGTAAAGTGTCCCATCGTTGAGTTCCGTGCGGGTGAACCTCCCAAGCTATTGGGTTTCGAGCATTTCACGGCACGGAAATGGGGTTCAAGGTTTGGTTCTGGATCCATTACACCGGTTGGGCAAGGTTCGAGGTTGGGTTCAGGTGCTCTGACTCCTGATGGTGGAGGCCTCGGTTCAAGGTTGGGTTCTGGCTCAGTGACACCAATCACTGTTGGGATTTCAAGACTCAGTTCTGGAGCTATGACACCCGATGGCATATGGCCTGCACCACTCGAAGGCACTCTCCTGGAGAATCAGATATCTGAGGTGGCATCACTGGCCAACTCAGATCACGGGTCTAGGCAGGATGAAGTGGCAGTCGATCACAGAGTTTCGTTTGAGTTGACAGGTGAAGATGTTGCTCGTTGTCTAGCGAGCAAGCTTAACAGATCCGGTTTAGATGTTACACAGGACAGGGCAAAAAATGGTAACAAAATGGAGACAGAAGAAACATCTGTAGACAGACGAAACAGCTGCCATGGGGAAACTTCCGGTAATATCTCCGAGAAAGGGTATGGAGAAACAGAGAGCGAGCAGAGTCACAAGCTGAGATCTTTCTCGCTAGGGTCGAGCAAAGAATTCAACTTCGACAACAGGAAAGAAGAGATCCCGGAAAAGCCAGCGGTTAGGAGAGAGTGGTGGGCAAATGAGAAGGTAGCGGGGAAAGGCGATAGCCCGGGAAACAACTGGAGTTTCTTCCCGGGCTTACGCTCTGCTGTCAGCTGAGAAACGAAGAAGCTTTCCTTGCTTCATCCCAAATTCTTCTAACAAAACCTGATCATGTGTTTCAGATGTGGCGAGAAAATTAAACGGTAAGGTTTGGTCTAACAAAATATATATAAAAAAACGATACAGAAACGACGGTCCAATGAAGGGAACATTGAGATATACTGGTTATGATAAAATGGACATTCTCTGATAAATTGCTTCAACTTGATTTCGTCATACCAAACATTAGCCTTTGGGTATATACTATACACAATATATGTATATAGGAGTACTGAGCTGTGTGTTTCCTTTCCTTTCCTTCTTTGTAATGAAATACATTCAGATTTAGAAGAATATTTATCCCCCCATTCTCTTCTATGCGGATTCGTTTATATGGGTTTTCTCCTGACAAGAGCTTTTGGGATAGAGAGAGAGAGAGAGAGAGAGCTTGCATTTTTGAATTTCAGCGGCAGTAAAATTCTACAATTTAAGTAGCGGCTGGTGATGTATGTTGAGGAAAGTGTAGGTAATTTTAGGTAAAATTGTAGAGTTTATGTGGTCAGTCAGTCTCTCTGTTCGTTAAATTGACAAAAGTACGTTGGTGTCAGGCGAAGGGGGGAATTTCAACGGAGAATATGTAACCTTAAAAGGCAAACAGGAAAAATATAGAAATAGAATGTCACATAACACACACACACACACACACACATACATAAAAGAGATGTGGAAGTGTTGTCTTCTGTATAGATACATATATATATATATATATAGGGTAAGGGCGTCCGAACGCAGGGAACTGGCACGCGGGCCCAGGTGCGAGACAGAGAGCACCCAACTAAGGAAATGATATTTTGTCACAAGGTACAAAATGTGATAATACAATCCTAATGGGTAAAGAGAGACCAAATAACAAAAAAAAAAAAGATACCGAATTACTAAGCAAATTTTGTGTTTTTCTTTTAAACATTATGCGTTGATCTTGGATAACTCTACGATTGTTTTTGTTTTTCCTTTTTTTTTAAAAAGGAGCATTTGGTAATAAATGGTAATACATTCTCGAATGCTTCCACGCACACCCTAAACCCTAAACCCTAAACTCTATATTCTTCTCGACTACCATACACACACACACAAAGAGTAAAATTATTTACTCAGAAATAGAATAATAACGAAAGAGAAAACCATAGAAAGCCTTTTGACTTGCAATGAATTCAGTAATCCTCTCCCTGCGAGGCAAAGCAGAAAGGGGAAAAGAATGATGACTTTCTTTTTCTCTTGGGGGTTTTGTCTTCTGTTTTCCCTCGTGAAAAATCTGTCCAAGACTCAATAATATAATACTCTGTCGGGTATTACCTAACAAAACAGAAGGGAGATCACACACTCCTCAGTTTAGGAACGTACTTCATCTTGTTCGCAGCCTTGTCGGGTTTCACTCTCGACTTTGATCTGGCGATTACTACTACCTCTTTCGTCGGATCAATGGCGTCGTCCTCTTCAGACAGAGCCAATGTCACGTGTTCCACCGAAGTCGCCTCTTTCCATCCTGATTCACATTCAATTGAAACCATGTAAAACGGGAGATACGGATATGATAGTGCAACAGAGAGAGAGGGGGTTATAGAAGTTACTCTCTGCAAGAAATGCCTTTGCTTCGCAGATGTTGAACTGCAAGCTTCCATTATTCGTGATCTTTTCTTCGACATGTGATATGTTCTTGTTCCCGTTGCTTCCGAGAATCGAATCTTTGTCTGCATTTTCAATTTGTTTCGACGGTTTGGTTCCATGCCTGCTCACCGGCCTCCATATTTTTACAGCCGGTTGCTCTGGAAGAGGTTTCACCTGATCATTCTTTGTCCTGCCATCATCTTCACTGCTACCCGTCTGGTTGTTTCCTCCACCGCTTCCAATAGTTACAGATATTGACCCGATCATGACTTCGCTCTTCTTAGTCTGATCCGGTTTAGTTACAGACTCATCCAGCGATATAGATCTCGGGTTATCTGTTTTTCGGCTCCACACTTTAGCGGTGTTGACTATTGCTGATGCTCTTGTTTCTCTGTTAGTTCCATTCTTCGACATACCTCCAAGTTTCGGTACATGAGAACCCAGATTAGAGTGGAACCCATTAGGCATTTCCCGTCGTGATTTTGAAGGAACAAATCCACCCATTCGCCTCCGACCACCTTTCCTTTCCATGATACAGCCATTATTACCCAAACCATCATCATGAGCACTGTGGCTAACCAGTGCTCGAGTTTCGCAGTTTCCACTACCGTTTGTTTCCGAAGAATCCTCCATTGGAATTCCATCTGGTCTTTGTGCCTCAGAATTTGAAGCTACAGACAATGGACTTGATGACTCAGCTGGATCTTGCTGTTCCTCTGATGTAGTACTCCCACTATCCTTGGAATCTTCTTTCTGTTCGGACCTCTGTTCCTTCACTCTCTGTTCTCTCTGCCTGAGCTTCTTCCTCCTTTTCCTCTCCAGGAGTTCAGCTCGTCTGCTCCAAATATGATAACGATACATGAGAATCAATATATTGGCAGCAGTTCAGAGCTCGATCTGATAAACCTCAGGTTTCATGGAATGCTTTAAGAATATACCTTCTTTGAGCGGCTTCTTCCTCTTCAACCAGTAACTTCTGGCACCATAATGCTTCTGCATCCTTGTCAGCAAGCCATGCTTTAATCTGTGAATAAAACAGAAATTACAAGGAGTGATTATGAAAAGTCCTCCAATTTGGTACTTGAAGATTTCAATATACAAACACTAGTTACGCAAAACAGGAAGGAAATGGGAAACCAGAGAAAAGATTTACAAGTTTCTGTTCCAGAAGGAAGCTTGCGCAAGCAACAACATTCTTTGCCTCCAGTGCGCTTTTCCCAGTTTCACCATCAAAAATATATTTTTGCATCGATGCAGCCGCACCACACAGGAATGTTTTTTCACTAGCCTCATCAAGAATATTGAACAGTTCTTGCGAAGATACTGGAAATCTAGATGGTCTAGCCTGGATAATATCCTGCAAAGACAGCAACATATGTTGTCAGCCAGCCACAGGAAAAATTGGAGACGGTCTTATTGGAAAGAAAAAGGAGAAAATCATTGAAAGAAAGACGGAATCTGTACCAAAACGTCAGAACCAGCTCTAAGATAATATTGTGGCAGCGCAATAAATCCTGGTTTTTGAATAAGGGTCATTAATGCTGACTCAACAGATGACCCAGATACTTCCTGCAACAATCCAAACACACCATAAAGAATTAGAAAAAGAGAGTAAGCTAGAAAGAGACCATTGAGAGGTTCCCAGGCCATGTACAGCATGGATAAACCAACCAACACTGGCACGTCAAAAGACTCAAAACAGGAGTGTGGAGACAAGAAAGGATGTATGCAAGTGTAGGTTTCATATCGCAAAGAATGAGAATCCAGTCATGATAGCACTTGAGCTAAAAACTTGCTTTTGCTTTTAATTGATGTTCATTATGTGAAAATGATTCTATAACACTAATAAAATCAGGAAAAGAGATGCTTTGTGCATATGGTACCATGCCTTCCGAAGAAACCATATAACAAGCAATTAAGTGTTGATAATAAAGAATGCGACCTTTGACAGAATGTGACCAACAAGAATGCAACGTAGCATTGAGGAGACATGACCTGTTATGCCTAGCTCATCTTGTACGAGATGTTTGCCACATGTTTTCGCAGCTCAAGATAAATAATGCTTTTCACAAACAGGGGAAAACATTGATGAAAAGCATACAACACTACCTCCAGCGCCATGCCCTTCAATGAGAGAATCCCCTTTGCCTCATCTACAGAGAGCTGCAAACCAAGAAGATTAAACACAATCAGAAAGCAAGGGAAGAAATGCTCCAATAAGCAATAAATAACCAAACAGGGGAAATTACCTTATCCCAGAAGGCTCCCAGGATGTTCCTATCTTTGCCAGAATCCTGGATCACATGGACGACAATCTTCAGGTCACTCCACACAAAACAAAATAGAACTTGAAGCGAAGTCAAGTTGAAACTCGAAAGCAACTGGGACTGTGGAAGAAATAGAATCAGTTCCAGGCTATACAAACCTTGTCAGGCTTTCTTAAACGACGATGCAAGCGGCTATGTCTCCTGTAGTTAACAGGTGAACAAAATTCCTTAGAGCACTTCTCACACTTCTGCATTTGTACCTTCAAAGGGGTAAGCAATGGCCAGCCCGAGACCTCTGCCACACAATAGGAAATGATAAGGGGGGACGAATTCCCAGCAATCACACATATTCGTCTATCAAACTGCCCTAGAAAACTCAAAAGCAATAACATGATAAACCCTCTTCAGCCATAAGTAAATGTCGTCACCTAGTCCACTTAGTCCAATGTCATTTCCAGTAACATCATAAAAGAATTAACTCACAAGTAATTGATCAGTGCATACGCAATCCATTCAAATCCATGAGCTACTAGAGAGCTCGGTAATACCTGGTTGATCAAAGGCATGGAGAAGTTGGAACAACTGGACAGGATTATTTTCAGGCCTAGGGAAGGAAAGAAAGGGCTCCTTTCCAACTGCACGCCTGATGAGCATATCTAGAGAATCATTTCCATCTTGCTTCACCAGGTCCATGGAGTTATACGGGTTGGATTTTGCAATTGCCATCCACGCAAATGGGAAACACTATAAATATTCATCATGGTTGGAAATAACCGTTACACCTTGAGCAATATGCCACATGAACAAGCCACAGGAAAAGAATGTAGAAGACAAAGTCATATAATGTCTAGCAATTGAAATGAAACAGCATCATTAACCCAGAAACTCAAAAAACAAAATTCTTCAATATTCCTCGATAATGACCCATTACACTACTCTAATCCCTCAGAAATACTACAAATTTCCAGACCTAAAATCAACAATTCAATTCACTATGAATTGAGCAAAAGCAGAAAGTTCAATGTTCATCTAACAAAATCGATAACAGGTGTTGAACATACTTCAGTTCTTTCCCCGAAGAAATATATAAATCCATCAGAGGCAGCACAGATTTCGCATCAATCTTCACCAAAATTGATTACAGATTCCTTGTTAGTCCCTATCCATAGATTTTCGATGCCACCTAACAGAGCAAAACAGAAATTGGGATGACCTCGTTGAAAAAAACCATTTCAAGGCAGAGACAACTGAAACTTATTACGCCCTCGGAGTTCTCCGATGCGCACAAACGCGTGAATTTGCATCGACATACAAGTTTACACATATGAAATGGTTAAAAGTGTGGTCATCCAACCACGTACAGTAGAACAGTGACGGATTGAAAGGGATCGGTCGCCCAAAGGAAACAGAAATCACAGCGATCCCCGGAGATGACGAACCCGAGGATGAAGAAACGCCGGAGGGAGATGTTTGGTAGGTGAGAAAGCCGCCGAGAAAATCCGACAAAGTGATCAGACACGAACCCAGAAACGAGAGAAATCGCGAAGGGGAGACGAGAGGTAAGGAAGAAGAAGAACAATATATAAGGCGTAACAACCAACCCTCGGTGAAAACATCATTCGGCGACGATATTGACATTGCACGACTTTTATCCAACGCGCTTTGTCCGCGAGTCCCCTGCACGCTCCCGTGGTGTACATCAAATTGGGCCTCGAAAGGCCCACATTGTATGATATTGGGCCAAGTCTTCGGGTTTATTCATTTCCTCTTTTGTGACATGGTGTTTTTCTTGTATTGAGAACACAAAGAAAGGTCTATATGACAGACCGATTGATTTCTTACTGAGACATGCATCAAGCTGTAACCTCTCTAACTTGTATCCCAAGGAAGAACCTTTACAGTGACGTAAAGGGCAAGTTATGTAACCTCTCAAAATGTTCCTGGACAATTGTTAAGAACCTGCACATGCACAAGCACAAGGCAAGAATATAGAGCTACGTCCTCTTGAAGTTTTCTGCAAGTTTTCCAACTCCAACCCTAAATTCCTGGGCCGTTCGCTTCAAACCGTCCTTCGTCGTTTTGCTCAATTCCGATACGCCTTTCTGAGCTTCTTCCACAGTCACCCTTCTAATCTCGTCAACCCTACGGCTCGTTCTTTCCTTCAGCTCCTCCGTCTTCACTTTCAGTTCTTCGGCTTTCTTCCCAATTCCACGGATACTTTCTTCTGTCTGTTTCTTCAGTTCTCCCGTCTTTAAGCAAGTTTCCGCTCTCAATTCTTCGGCTTTGCTACCGATTTCACATATATGTTCTCTCAGGGACGATAACAGGAAGCGTATCTTCTGTATGATGAGGTGGATCAAGTCTCTGGACTTCAATCCTACGGCTCTCGCCATTAGCTTGAGCTTCCTGATCAGATTTCGAGCTCTGTTCATGGTCCCGTCAATAGAGAATCGTTTTCCTGCGTTGACCCATGTAGACTTGGCTGTGGTCTGTTCATGGAGGTCACTATCGACGACGACTCTGATACCGTGCTTTTCCCAACGTCCTCTCGCCTCTTCTAACACTTTTGCTTGCTCTCTTGCTCTTCTAGCTTCATCCTCGGCCCAATCCCTGTACAATATAATGGACATTAGGCGGTGGTTCAGGTTTTCGAGGGAAAATCCCAGCTACAATCAAGAATTTTCTTCTCCAAAACAATGCTGCATTATTTGATCATTTTTTACAAGAAAAAAATTGGTTGTGATCAATGTTACTATGATGAGTTTCATTTCTTGAGTTGAAACTCATGTCAGTCTAATTTGGTTGGGTAAAAGAGGAGATTTGAGTTGATAATGTCATTAACCTGGCCATAGACAAAGCATTCCTTTCGACCTCGAGCTCGTGTTGCAACCGAAGAATTTCTCGGTTCTCATCTTCGACTTGCTTTTGTAATCTGTCAAACCTCTCTTTCTCATACGATATCTCTGTCTTGTTATTCACAACGCCCTGAAGTAGCTCCTCGAGCTCATTCCTTTGCCTAGATAGATCCTCCATTTCTGTTTCAATTGCCGTTCGTTCTTCCTCCAGTGCAAGTGTTTGCTCTTGCTTTTGAGCTCTTAGTTTCTCCATATCCAACTTGGCTTCTTCAGCCATTTTCTCCACAGCATCAACTTTTCCCTTTTCTATTAAAAGGTCCTTCTCGAAGCTAGCATTGATATCATTCTCAACTTGAGTAACTAGGGAATTATGAGCAGAAACCACATTTTCAGCCATGGACTCTGCTTCAATACGAGCTAGTTCCTCACTGACCATGTCAAAAGCTTGACCCGTGGCGAGAGCCACAGCAGCTTGGGCTTTTGTTACTGCTTTACACGGCTGAAACAGTCTTGTACAACCTATGACAGATACAAGGCTTCTGTAATTGAGCTTTAATTTGGAGCGTCAATGATTAGGTTGGTTCAGAAATAATCAACTTACCGAAAGCAAGTGGTGTTATTCCCTGTTCTCCGGCGGAAAGATCAGCTATAAGGGCAGGCCATGCTTCCGGGTTTATCTTATCAATGTCGAGGAAACCAGAAACTTGGTACAATTTCTGAAAGGCAAAGTGATCTGTAAGATTACGAAGCTCTAATGACTGAGCCCCGGGAAAAATAAAAGCACAGAAAGAACCTTTCTGTCAGCTTCTGGGAGCTGTCGGTTTTCCAAAGCCATCTTCCAACTCAAGAGATCCTGGCGTGAAAGAGGGCTGTAGAACAAAATGCTTGTGAATAGAAGATTGGATATTGAATAGCAAAATCTGTAGCAGCACATGGCATAAACACTTCAAGAGAGGACAAATCAATGTTGTGTCTACCTTTTGGGGAAGAACAAAAACTGGCCGCAATTGGGGTTAAAAAGTTTGCTTGAGATAAGTCCTGCCTCTGCCAAACCTTATAGCATCCAACAAGAATGAAGAAATGGCATGAAAACACAAATGTCTGCATTTGATTTACACTCCCGAAGCCTTAAATCTGATGATCACCTTGAATGAATGGAAAATCGGGATCCTCGGGTGTGATGTCATCGAATGCTAGTTCAGTGACATTCTCTATGTACATGGCAGGATACACTTTTGACACCATGCTCCTTCAACAAATCAAGGTGTTTGCATAATGCGAGGTTTAAGTTTCTAGAGACTGTTCTTATGATACAAGTCTTAACACCGATAGTTTTAATAGAAAGAAAACAGGATATAATACCGTAACAGAGCATTGCTTGCAGAAACCAACCAACGAGCAAACTCACGACGTGTGCATAAATCGTAAGGCAGAGCATCAGATTCAATAACCTGAAAGATAAATATGTTTCTAATTATGCAAGAAAAACAAAGTCACCCAACTCTTGTCACCTTACAAAATCACTGCATTACTAGAAATAATTTAAGAGTTCAAACAGTACCTTCAATGCCTGTAAAGCTGAAAAGATTTGACCATGAACTGGATCCACAGCCATCGGAGAAAGAAGCTTTACAGGATTTACTTGTGGAGCAGTGGAAGGAGCAGGTATTCCCTTACAAGTGAGAGAGCTTTGTTTCGTGCCTGAAATGGGAGAGCTAAGTTTATCTACCCCTTGCAGATCGGTAGATAATGCGTATATCTCAGCTGAGCCTTCTGATTCAGTGTTCACATCGTGATTTTCTTTGTTTGTGGATGTGGCTTTAGTCTTTGTGCCTGTGTCATCTGAAGACAAAACTCGAAAATCTAAATTAACGCCTGGAATGCGAAAACTTGTTAGGCATGCAAGCACAATGAACACATAGAAAGAATATCAATGGAGACCAAACACTTTCTTCTATATCTGGAACCCTAAATATAGATTCCCCAGTCAGCCTGAGATATAAGATGCATTTGTCTTGAAACCTCGAACTATATCCCGCATACCCACCTGTGCTGAATCGATCGCTTGAAGCTCCCAAGTCAGGAACCAACAGAACTTCCTGCTCAGCAACCATGGGTACCATCTCCTGTTTTAGCCCTATTCAACCGAAAACCGATGCTTCGCATGTCATAATACATTCCACAGAGGATTTTGCTATCTAATATCGACAAAATCATGCACGAAGTTCACGTTTCAGACAAGGCAATGGCCCCTGATTCTCCATATCCATTTATCTCCTCAAAAGTACATACTTGAAACATTGCTCCTGATGGACAAGGCCGCGACCACTAATCCAGCGGTAATAATCATCCCGGACGCTCCAGCTACCAGGGAACCTGAAAGCAAACTACTTTCGAAAAGTCATCAGCCCAAACCAAGAATTAGCTACTTAGAAATGGTATATTTTCCCCAAAGAAAAGAAAACAAATTTGCCGTTCTATCCATACAAGAGGAACTTTCACTATCTTCGTGTACAACAAATTCTCCAGTTTACTTCAAAAATAACAGCATTTCATTCTCGGATAGAAAAAAAACATGGAATTTGCATAAATTAGTGCACGAATGACAATCCAGTCGCATAATAAAGTAGTGTCAACAAAAAATGCTGCAAATTTCAGCCAAATTCAAGCTACATACAGCTAAATCCGACAATAGAATCTCCAAATTCCGCATTTCCACTCAATTTCCGATTAACCAAGCAAACCAGAATCAGAGCCCGCACCTTTCAACCAATTCCCGCCACTGGACTCGGTGGACTTCTCATCATCACCCGAATCCGACCACCCGTTAAAATGACCCGACCCGATCCACCCGCCAAAA